CACTTTATTTATTTACACTAAATAACAAAAGTACATCAAATCGGATTGAAGCTAAGGGCATACAAAACTGTCTAACAACCTCTCCCTCGGCTGATCTTGTCACTATGATCACCCACTCAAATGAATTCTCAGACTGTCCCAACATACCCAGGTTTTGACCCCCGCTAAGGATCTCATTGATTGGTACATCAAAGACAGCCCAATCCGGCACCTAGTGAAGTATCATAATCGAGTCTAGGGGTCGGGTGTAACTTTCCAGTTTTGCCCATTAATCTCCAAGTTCCAGGGTAATACTGAAAATCTGGTCTAATTCAAATATTCAATTAATCCTACACTGTATGTGCCTAGGGTCTCACCCTGGCAGCTGAAACAGGCCACCCCAACCGACTTAGTGGCACAACAGTGTCAACCTTATCAGGATAGGTCTCCCCAGACCGATCCACTGGCTATGAACATTCTAAACTAACACGAGTCTCATCAAGTATTCAGTTTAAGGGTATTACACAGAAACATAGCAAGGGAACATGAATCAATTATGCACTTTTATTCATTTTACAATAAACTCATAAAGTAAATCATTCTGATTGAAACTAAGGGCATACAAAACTCTCCAACAATTTCTTTATAAAAGCTCAACCCTGCACACAAAAATACCTTCTCTCCCCATTCTCTACATGCTAATACAAAACACATTCATCAGGCTAAATGGAAGTATTACACTATTTATTCTAACTAGAGATTTCAATAGCCTTCACTTCAGGCCTTCTCATCTCTTCCTTAGGAACAGTTATAATAAGAACCCCATTCTCCACCGTCGCCTTCACCTGGTCCACCTTGGCATTCTCCGGCAACCTGAACCGACGAAGGAACTTGCTGCTGCTGCGTTCGACGTGGTGCCACTTATCGTTCTTCTCTTCGTGTTCTCTATTGAGCTCCCCACTGATTTGTAAGACTCTACCTTCTTCCAGTTCGACTTTCACTTCTTCCTTCTTGAGCCCAGGAAGGTCAGCTTTGAAGACATGGGCTTCTGGAGTCTCCTTCCAATCGATGCGGGCATTGGCGAATGCTGCCGTCTCAGTTTTGAATTGAGGACTGGTGAGAGCACTGTCGAAGGTGAAGTCTTGGAATGGATCCCAGATATCCATAGAGAACGGATCGAAGATGTTGCTTTGTCGGCCACCAAAAATGCTTGGGATGATCGACATCTTTACTTCTGGGTTTCTGTTGAAAATGGAGAAAATAATCAGTCACAGAGAGATCGAAACGCTTGCTAGCTGGTAACTATGAGCGGAAGCCTTAAACTTGAAGAGAGCCGGAAGTTTTCACGATGCAGAGGTGGTGAGATTCGTTCGGTATATACGGAGAAGAAGAGGAAGACTGTCGTAATTTTGAGAAATTTCTGTATGTCTCCAGATTTTCGTATTTTTTAGGAACATTCTCGCTCCTACTCGCCCGCCAATCACGAACGCTCGCGAAGAAAAACATGGGGCCCACCGATACCAAAGGGGCAATTTGGCTTCTACATGATACAAATACAGCTCGAATATTTTACTGGATTTCAGTTTTAAAACCATTAATAATTTGATATGGGCCCAATGAATCAAGTCGAAGCTCACACAACATAGAGCTAATATACTAGTTCTCATCTGATTACATCATTTATACTACTTCATCTAGTCCACAGGTCCAACCCTCAGGTTATCTGGTTCGACCATTTCACTCGCTCAAATGAGAATAGTAACATAACAACAAACAAGAAGCAATAAATGGTTACAGAGTCATCTTTTTAAACCTATTTTAAATAAAGAATAAGCTTAAAATAGTATATATGGTTCGGTTCATAAGGGGGAGTTGTTTTTCTTCTTGTCTGAGCTTAAAAAAACAAAGATTCTATACCTGATTTTAAAAAAGCATTGATTTCAATAACTAAAACATATAGAAAACATGCTCTTGGTTCTGTGAAGTATTTCTTGTTTCCAAATCGGAAACCATGAATACTTTATTGTATCGGTGGTTTTAAAAATACAATTTCTCTTGTTTGATATTATGTTTCATAAGACAAATAATAATTTTGATAAAGGCTTCGTTTTATTTGAGGTATAAATACAAAAATACACCGGTGTAAATGAAAAACGATCAATGCCAAAGTTGAACCGGTTGTCTGTTGTTTTTACACTTATGTTTGGAAGAATAGTGGTGTAAAAGTCCACTGCAACTGAGAGATTGCAGTCCTTGTCCGTCGGTCAAGAAACAGAGCACCGCGAGCGGCGGTGAGCGCCGGTCCCGCTTGTGCCACCGCCGGAGCAGGAGCCGGAGTAGAAGAGCTAGACCCATGGTGTCTCGGCAACAGCACGACCACGGTCATCTTCTCTCCCTTCGGGCAGTTCTCCTCAGTTCCGCTGATGAAGTAGAACGGCCCCAACCGGTCGAGTTCAAAAAGTTCTGATTTCAGATGGAGAGGATCACCGAGAGAGAACATGAAGTGAGGCATATCTCAGACCACCTTTGAGTTTACAACTCTGAATTAACAACTTGCCTTCCACTTGAGATAGAGAGAACAAAACGGGAAGTGTACGGAGATAGCGTTTTTAATGAAAGGAAACCGGCACAAAGAAACCCAACTTCCAAAATTATCTACAAAACAATAAGTAAACAGATCCGCATCGCAAAAAGAAATTGATTCTGGCGAGATCCGCATCGCAAAAAAAAATTATCTACAAGACAACTTACAAAGTAAACAGATCCGCATCGCAAAAAAATTATCTACAAGACCGTTGTTTCTTCGAAACTACCAGCACAATAAGTAGAGCGACGAAGGCCTGTTTGAATTTGGAATACGAGCATCCAGATTCGGCGAGATTCCAATCGAAAACAGCTCAAATGGCCGGCAAATTATTGGTTGCATGCGCATGAAATAAAAAATGAAGTGAAGGGATTAGAAATCCATCATATGGATGGCTGAACCCTGCAGGTAGGTTGGGCGAAATTTCAAAAATTTCCTCTCCCCTCATCTGGGAATCACATTCCCTGTTTTAGATTGCATTTTCAATGATCAATCTTGAACTATAAACCAAACCAGATCTGAAACCAAAAGCAGGAGAGGGATATACCTGATACGGAGAAGCAATATCTCCCAATAGAGGTGTTCACGCCCAAGGTAGGAATCAAAGATTGCTCCCACTGAAAATGGCGCAGTATAGGATGGAGCAGAATCAGCAATATTCGTCCAAAAGAACTGAACCCTTCACAAGAATTCGCTGGGGCTGTGAGCACAACTTCATATTAGCCTTTCCCCAAAGGTTGATATCAAGATCCAATCTTGATCACTCCTACTTGAAAGAGAGGAGATTGAACTAGCAGTAATGGTGGAGACAGGAAGGAGGCGGCAAGGAGAAAAAAAACTCAGTCTCACTAGGTGTTGTGTTTTCTCTCTGTTTTGGATGTGATCATCTTCTAAAGCTGCCGCCCCTTTTCCTTTTATAACTTTAAAGGGATCAGTTCCTAATCCCATTAGGAGTTGTTGATCCAAATCATATTTGGATCTGAATTTCCTTTAAGAGATAAGAATAGACCATTATCTTATCTGCAGATTATATCAGCCATTTCCTAATCTAGTTAAGAGGTTTCTAAATCTGAATTTGTATTCAGATCTGGACTCTCTGAGTGCATAGGGTAAGATCCTATCCTATCTGCTAATCCAATATCAGATTCGCCCCTCTTTAACTGATCAAATCAGCAAGTTCGAAATGGGCTTTAGGTCCTTTAATAGTATGTGCTCACTTAACCTTCCAAACTGCTGCCTAGTTCAACTTCCTTATATGGCATGGGACCCAAGCATTGATCTATGCATCAGTCACAAGGGTTCGGCCCAGCCTTTGTTACAAGGCCTAGCCGAATTCACTAGAAAGCCCAGTACACCCCCTGAAACCCATCATATGGGCTCTATGGGCCCAACACTTACCCTAAGTGGTCCCTGGGCCAAGCTACCTTGTAACACCCAGGGACTGTGGGCAGATGCAAGATTAGC